CGCTCTAGTGCTACGATCACGTGAAGGCTGTGCGAATAATCGCGGGTCACCTACGAGTCGGAACCACCTACTGTGGTCTGTACGACAGGCCTATGCACCTAACTTGGATCCAAGCTGAGCGTATGGTGCGGGAGGTGAACAACACGTGAAGGACTGTGCCCTACTCTGGGCGGGAGCACTAACACCGGGGGTGCAGGTTATGAGCTCTCTAATCATCTCTAACCACTATTTAATGCAATCGTTAATTAACGCTTACCTGGCACTTACCTATGCCTCCACAGCACCCACACATAAATATATATGACATATGCATATGTATATGTACGCCACAAATGATGCATGCAACGATGCATAAACGATAAATAATAAAGTACATGGCATAAGGCAAATAACCCTTTTTAAATCAATTTCTGGGAATATAAATGTATATAGGTATATACGGAAAACAAAAGCCCACTCACTGGTAAGTAGAAGGGTCGTAGCCCCCCTGCCTCGAATGTGCACGCTCGTCCTCGGGATACGTGTCACCTATATGCGAATTAACTACAAAAACGTTAACTTTAAAGCACATAACCGTCCATTCAAAATAACTTCTCATACATTGCTCAAAATGGACAAATGAATATACCAACGTGACCTACACAACCTCACGATCACAACCATATTTTTAAAATAATTTTTGGACCACGCACGCGCCCCCACGCGCCTGGAATGGCACGGGTCCACGCGCCCCCACGCGCGGCCACGTGCACGGCACACCGACGGAATATTCCGTTGACTGACGGAATATTCCGTTGACTGACGCCGTTAGTCCTGTAGGAATATTCCGTTAAGTCCAACGGAATATTCCCCTGTCTTCTCCGGCGAGCCGCCGCCGCCTGCGCCGCCGCCGTCGCCGGAAAACTGGAAATTTTTCAAACTTCGTTTTCTCACTCGTTTTTCAACCATTTTTCACGTTCTTTATACCAAAATGAAGCTTAGGACTAGTAGAATCACGTTAGACTACTTTTAAGGCCTAAAAATCAAAGAATCTCACCTGCAACAACGATCCAAGTTCGGCCAACTTTGAAACTAAGCTTTCCCGACGTCCAAATTCACCCAACGAAGCATTCCCAAGCTCCTTGAGGCCTCACTAACACATCTACAAGCTTAGAATGTCCAAAAACATACTAGATTAGGTTTGCATGAACAGTGCTCAAAACGGAGCTTACGAGATCGACGTGAAAACGACTGGTTTCTCACCTGAAAATGGCACCACTAGACTCCTCTCGGCCTCACCATCACGATGGTGTACTTGGTTCCCTCGATCTGCAAGGTTTTGGATGGTTTTGGGTTTGGTCCGTACATATATGGTGAAGAAGAAGGGGAAAGAGGGAGACACGGGAGGGAGAGAGACAGAGGGAAAGGGAAGGGCAGAGAGTGTGCAGGTGTGTGTGTGGCCCAACACATGCCACAACACACAAAACAACCCCACTAAGTGACGAAAACACACTAGGGGCAAAATTGTAATTCCACACGTACGTGTTAATAATCCCGGGACGGGATGTCACACGAAGCCAGTGAGCTCCCAAAAGGCCTCGTACTAGGTAGGGATGAGAATATACATGTAAGGATCACAACCTTGGGTGATGTGGGATTTTACAAAAAACCCTTAAATTGCTCTCAAATTCCTTCCAAATTTGGGTGATAATGAGAAAATGAAGGGTTAGATGATGATTGGGAGTGGTGGCTTGGTCCAATTCGTAAGAAATACGGTGGAAAACCACCGGAAAACATGGTGAAAATGTGTCGAATGGTGTGGGTCAAAGATCTGGCCGATCCCCCCTTCTCTTTTTCTCCCTCATTTCCCCTCTCTCTGGTTGGTCACTCTCTCCTCTTCCTTCCTGATTGGGTAGGAGCCCATCACTTCCCTTTTTTCTTTCTTCTTCCTCCAACCTTTTTCTTTTTCTTTCTGACTCCCACCACTTTTTCCCCCTTAGGAAAACGCTACAAGAATATTTAGTACGTCTCACAACACGTTGGTCAATGAAAGTTAAAACCTTCGCCTCTAGGGCATTCTCGTAAATTCTCATTTTAAAAATTTATAAAATAATAAAATTTGGGACGGGTTGTCACACATATATATTATGAAGTATTAGAACATATTGAAAACATGGGTAACAAGCATATAATGTGTGTTTATTTAAATAGTCAACAAGTTTCTTACAATTTATTGAAACAAAAAAAAAAATGCAAAATGAAAGTTATCTATTTTCTGTTTAATTGAGTCGCAATCTAGGCTTGTGCCTAGGTGGGTTTGGACATGCTAGGTGATCTAGGCGTCCTTTCTTAATTTTCAAACGTCTGAGCATTAATTGGGGCAGCGCTAGGCGAAGATTTTTATAACAACGCACAAAACGAGTGGAATTGGCATGTTTGAATAGCAGTCCACAAAATCATACTTCAAGCAAAACTTTGTTAATCAAATCTGCTTTACAACTAAATGTGTGTGTGTGTGTTTTTTTTTTTTTTTTTTTTTTTAGCTAAAAATGAGGGTAAAGGCAAGAGTTCAGACAAACTACTCAATAATAAGGATAATGCTAGAAATATCAAAATTCTAAACCAAATGATATGTCATCAACATGAAATAAACACGTTAATAAAAACTTAAGTAATTATCTAATTATTAAAATACACATAATTTGGTTTGCAAAATTTGGTTTAGGAATTTGGTATTCCTAGCATTACCCCAATAATAAATCAAGACGGAAACATCCCAAGTCGATCTTCATGAATAAAACTAACTAAACAAAAAGGACGAGTATAAAAAAAATATATCCTAAATCAAAATCAAGATTATAAGTCGCTAAACTATCCGGTACAAATTCTTTTCTCTATAGACATGACGAAGTTCACATTGCCAAGGACTTAAAAGCAATTCTCGGTAGGCCAAAACAAGGGGACTTAAAGGATGATTATTGTTAGTAGCTTACAACACCAGATGAACTATGACTGTAGAGTCTGATTCTATCAGTAATTTATCAATCCTTAATCTCCATGCCAATTGTAAGCTTAAGTAGAGAGAAACTGTAGGCAAAACTTTTTTTTGGAGCTTTTTATAGAATTGAACCTCGTTCTTTGTAAATTTTAGTGTGTGTGTGTGTTTTTCCTTCTTTTATTTTTTATTTTTTTTTAATAATTAATCTACCGCTTTTACAAAAGAAAAAAAGAAAAGGAAGAAAAAAAAAAGTGTACTTTGACATATTATCAAATTTAATAGCGTAACGATCAATTGCAATCTGCAACATGTATCAATCGGTGACTTTACCGGTCACCAACGAATGGAAGACAATATTTATAAAAATAAAAGGGAAGAAGAGGACAAATGCTTGGTTGCTTTAAATTGAGGTTTAAGTTTGAGAGGAGGCACAAGTAATCATGTTTTTTAGTTAGTCACCAAAACAAACCAACCCCATACCTGTATTACCCATTGTTGGCAAAATGATGTCAGTTTCTTCAATTTGTTTGATCTAACAATCGAAAAGTGAGAGTAGTGTGTAAAAAATAAAAATGAGTGTGTGGATAACACTATCCATACCAAAGTTAGTTATGACTGAAATCAAGGTAAAGTTACATAAAAGTGAGAATATTAAAGCAATGTAATTACCAAACTAATCATCCGTACCCTTCATATAATGAGAACAACTTAAGTAAGATGAGTTCACTTTTATTGTAACACCTTGATTCAATATTGAATTCTCCTTGTCCATACCTAGAATCCCCATTAAATTGTCTTGGTGGTGGTGGTGCGCATATTCATCAAATGAGTTTGCCCTCACATGTTCCCGTCTCTTTTGGACGAAGAGTTCGGCCATTGCATAAAAAAGGTAACAAAAAAAACAAAGCCGATAAGAAATGGGCCTTAGTCGATGGAAGGGGGCTATATTCCGGCCCAACATTTTTGTCTTTTAAACCCTGTGTAGGCCATCCATTTAGTTCACCAACCCAACCCATTTTACCATCTTGATTCCCTGCCGGTGAGAACAATGCATGGTGATCCAATTGCATGGTAACAAAATAAATTGACTTTATTTTATCAACTCGAGGGATCTCTAAAATCCGATGGTGTAGGTTTAAATCCTAAAAAGCGTGATTCTGTGTCACTACTTTTTATATTTCCAATTAATATAACGGAATCATAATTTTCTTCACAGTATCATAATAGATTACTTTTATGTCTGAAATTTAATAGGGACAAGTATTCCACGTATCCAATATGTATTGTTTACCCACATGGCCTAATAACACGTTCAATGATAATGGACAACTGGGCGGAGCGAGCCCAGCCGATTCTTCTAATTTGCACCCACGTGTCTTACGCGTCAAGACACACATCTTTCTTTGCTTTGCTTGCGCTGCCGGCTTTCCAGCGTTGGCACTTGGATCGATTCGATGCTTCCGCCAGCCGCCTTTATGGATTTCTTTCCCCCTTCCCACGCTCTTACCCAAACGCGTCGCCTCCACAAATTCACTTATACTCTTGTATCTCTCGTTAATAATTCATTTGCAACAAATCATAATAAATTGAATTTTCACACTTAATTTACTACATTTGAACAATTTATGTTCACGTGAATTAAATATAAGACATATTTTAACAAACTGAAGATAGACTGATGAAGCTAAAATAACTAATAACATGTATACATTGATCGCCACACAAATATTTTCATAATAAATTGTTGATTTGTTCATAACAAATTACGATGAACCACAATTTACTATTAAATGTTTCCAGTATATTGGTTCATAAGACAAACTAATATTTAACGACTAGTTTGACAATGTTATAATCTAAACAATGTGGAATACACCGATACGTTGTAAAATTTTCAAAGTTGAAAATGCGCGTACTCTTCAAAAGTTTGAAATTAAATTCAAGGGGAGAAAATATGCTTCCGTTGAAGTTGACTTCAAACATAAGTAGCGCCACCCAGAGTCGTTACTAATCCTCGCTGTTTCCTCTCTTAATTTAAAATCTTTGGAAAATCCCAACATTTCCACCTCGCCCCCCTCTCTCTCCCTCTCTCCGTCTCTCTCTCTCTCTCTCTCTCTCCCCCGCTCGTTCGCTTTGTATTCTTCTTCTCCAGAAGCTGCTGTGAGAGCAAACCAGAATCTAGGGTTTTTACATCGGCGATGGCTTCCAATCCCAAGGATCCGAAGCAAAGCGGAGGTTTCTTCGCCTCCATGGCTTCCACTTTGACCAATCTCGGTAGCTCCATGACCAAATCCGTCAACGGGTATAAGTCAAATCCCTCTTTGATTTCATCTTTCGAGCTGATTGGATTCGTTTGGAGTTTTTGGGCACGGGGATTTGGATTTTTTTTTTTGTTTGTTGAATTATGCTTTCTTGGTGTCAATTTTTAGCTCTGTTAGTGTTAGCTGTTACAATGAGCTTCCAATCTGATTCAGTTAGTTACTAATTTGGGATTTCTATTGATTTGTTTTAGAGTTTTTGATCAAATTGTGTGTCTAGTTTGCTGGATTTGGGCTGCACTTGGTGCTTAATTACTTGTAGTTCTGCCTAGTTTTGAATCTCATGTCTGCCAAATCGAGGTTTTATGTTATGTGGTTGCTCCGTGCGGTTCTGATTCAATAGATTAGTAATTTATACTCAGTTTACTAAGTTCAAAATGCATGCTCAGAAACTAGTTTTCGATGTGTGTTGATAAACTAGTTTTTGTATGTATTGATCAGATTATGACAATCCCTGGTGTTTCAATGTGCAGCATAATGGGTTATGAGGGGCTGGAGGTTATCAATCCAGACGGAAGCCATGAAGATCTTGAAGACGAAGCAAGGAAAGGAAGATGGAAGCAGGAGGTACACTATTTGTTATGGAAATACCAATTTCTCTATATGATAGTAGACATAAGGTTAATGTCTTGGGTTTGTTCTAATATAGGTGTTAGGGGTGCAATGAATATGTTACATTTGGATTTTGAGCACGATGGTCTGCCCTCATAGCTCATCTTGCATGACCTTTGAAGCAGCGTTATTACAGAGGACCATACTATGTACAAAAATAATCACATAGGTGATTTAGTACACCTCTAAAATCATGCATCATGACATTTCTAGTTTTGCATTGGAGAAGGAGGAGTATCTTCTTTATTAGGTGACTCAGAGGAAAGTTCTCGGAAGAAATGAAATACCCAAAACTAATGATAGATCACATATGCATTAAGCAGAAATACAATTATTTTAGGGAAGTGTTATTGGTACTCCAAAAATCTCATTCTACACTCCTCACAAGTGTGTTTTTCTTTCCTAAGTGTAGAATGAGATTTTTGGAGTGCTAATAACAATTCCCTTATTTTAATACTAAAGGAATTTTAGTATTGTTTATCTCATGATGAGGACAGAGCATGATCACAGATATTAGTTAGCCTATCACCATTAGATTGTTTTTGTTTTGGCTAGATAAAATTAAAGGACACAACCTTCGCTAAACCTGGAAAGTATTTCAAAAGATTTGTCAATGTATCTACCAGCAGGCTGCCCTCGTCTGGGCTTATCACCATTTTTTTACTTAGCCTGTTTCATATTAATTTTTTTCCTTCAGCATCAAAACCATTTTGCTGTATTCTCTCTTTGGAAATCACCTTTTATGGCCTTGAAAAGTTTCCAGCTTAGTCTTTCCAAGTCTAGTAATTCAATCAGAGCAACAATAAAGCACATAAGATGTCATTTTCTTGTATGGCAGCTTCTATGTGTCCCATAGATTACTTGTATAGTAAGATCATATTGGCGGTGAAAAAACCTATAAAATAATTCTTTCAAATGCTTTCATGCATACTCATTACAGAAGATCTTCCCCTTTTTTCTTTTTTTCAGGATCGGGATAGTTACTGGAAGATAATGCAGAAGTATATTGGCTCTGACGTCACCTCACTGGTGACCCTTCCAGTACTTATTTTTGAGCCGATGACTATGCTACAGAAAATGGCAGAGGTTTGTGTTATCTGTAATTAAATGGTACTGGAGAATCTTGGTTCAATCCAATACTGTTCTGCCCAGAAAATCTAACAGTTTTCCAATCATGTCACAGCTTATGGAATACTCCCATCTGTTAGATCTTGCAGATGAATGTGAGGATCCATACATGAGATCGGTATATGTTGGTATGTATTCTCTCTCTCCGTGTGTGTGTGTGTGTGTGTGTGTAAACATAGATGTTTTCCACTCTCCTCTCTCTCCTCTGCTGTTTGAGCATGCACTGTTTGGTGACTAAGTTATGATTGCTGTTTGCAGCATCATTTTTCATATCTGTCTACTTTGCTTATCAACGAACCTGGAAGCCATTCAATCCAATACTTGGTGAGACTTATGAAATGGTTAATCATGGGGGCGTTACATTTTTATCAGAACAGGTGTGTTCTAAGCGCCAAAACTATCAATTCTATGTTTACTTGAGATTTACGATGCTTAGGCATGCAAATAAAAGAGTGTATTTTGTAAATGAATCTCATATTGTTTGGTTTGTTCTTGAAGGCTTACCATGATCATATAATTGTTGGTGCAATTTGTATTTTATTAAACTTATATTCTTCTTTTATTCCTTCCAGGTCAGTCATCACCCTCCTATGAGCGCTGCTCATGCTGAGAATGAGCACTTTATTTATGACATAACTTCAAAGGTGAAAACCAAGTTTTTGGGGAACTCAGTTGATATCTATCCAGTCGGAAGGTAACCCTATATGATCTTTCTCTGTGGAGCTGAAATTGCATAGTGAGCATAATCTTTAGTAATAACTTATGCAACATTTAAATGTTTTTCAATGCAGGACGCATTTGACCCTCAAAAGAGATGGTGTTGAATTTGAATTGGCACCCCCTCCAACAAAAGTTAACAACTTAATTTTTGGACGAACATGGATCGATTCACCAGGAGATATGGTTCTGACCAATTTGACCACGGGGGACAAAGTTGTGCTGTATTTTCAACCATGCGGTTGGTTTGGGTATGACATCTTTCTATTGTAGTGCTCATCACTTGTAACATTGTTTGCATCATATGAAAGCTTATTTGGTAACATCTTGCGAGAGGGTATTTTGGCCATACAGTCAAAGTTCCAGGTCAAAGGATAACCTTATAGCCTTCTGTTAAAAAGATGTTATTCTAAAATTGCGAGTCTACCTTGATATTGTCATGTTAGTTACCTACTCCAAATGTGAACAGTTATATATAACTATTTTCCTTAAACACCATGTATAACTTCGTTCTTCCCTTGGTCGTGATTGTGTTATTCAAATTCATGCACCATACGATTACTTATAGAACATGACTGGTAAATCACACTATTCACATGATGCGATGATCAGAAACAAAAATCTGCTAACGCTGCAATTTTAGACAAAACTGAGTGGCAGGGGAAAATTCCAAGATTGAGGATCAAACTGATCTGAAAAAGAAATGTAACTAAGCCCAGTCTTTTGGGATGAAGAGTTGGTTTGGGTTCAAGGATTTTAATTATTAGTTATCAACTAGTGCATGCTCTATGTTGGTTTCACACTTCTATCTGAAGGAAATTTTTGGTTGCAGATCTGGTCGCTATGAAGTAGATGGATATGTTTATAGTTCTGCCGAGGAACCTAAAATATTGATGACTGGAAAATGGAACGAGTCAATGAGTTATCAACCCTGCGATGCAGAAGGGGAACCACTTCCTGGCACTGAACTGAAAGAGGTTTAGTTTCTTACCAGCTACACATTGCAGCTTGTTGAATCTTATTTAGGAAAACCTGGAGTGAGCTTCTGTACTGTGCTTGTAAAGTGGAATTGCATGCACCGACTCCTAAAGGAATTGAAAGCTATATTTATCCTTTATATATCTGGTGTCCAGTAGATGTATGAAGTTGTAGAAACGAATAAATCTTTACAGTTCATAGGTGCTCCTAATGGTTTTGATTGCCATGTTAGAGAACATTCGTTAGCTATTTATAAAGTTTCGGTTTGTTTCCGATAGGACAAAAGAAACGCTAGGAAATTATTCTATTTTTTCAGTACAGGAAGTTATCCTAGTAAGCTCATAGGAAATTATTGTATTTTTCTATAACAGGTTTGGAGAGTTGCTGATGTTCCACAGAATGACAGTTTCCAGTACACACATTTTGCACACAAAATAAACAGCTTTGACAGTGCCCCTAAGAAGTTGTTGGCATCAGATTCTCGCTTGCGTCCTGATAGATACGCACTGGAGCAGGGTGACCTATCCAAAGCCGGTTTTGAGAAGAGCAGGTCTCGATCTATCTTTAATTCTCTCTCTCTCTCTCTCTCTCTCTTTCTCTCTCACACACACACACACACACACACACACACTCACAAAATACAGTACTGAAGGGATTACGGATATCCACAGCAAGCTTGATGCTTGTTTTGACTGTAAAATTTTATATCGATTTAGTAAGACTAACCCGAATGAGGAAACTGACATCTTAAATACATCTACCTGCTCTTTGACCAGTCTGGAGGAGAGGCAGAGGGCTGAGAAGAAAAATCGACTGGAAAAAGGACAGGAGTTTACTCCAAGGTGGTTTGACAAAACAGATGAAGTCTTCAAGACAACATGGGATGACATGGACGTGTACCGTTACAATGGGAAGTACACCGAACACCGGGCTGCAATAGACAACTCAGACAGCGTCGAAGCGTTTGACATCAAATCAATAGAGTTCAACCCCTGGCAATACGAGGATTTGGCTGCTGCTTAAGGTGTATCGTGTGATTGTTTTTGCCTGTATAATATTTTTTTTCTTCTTATTTGTTATTCTTACCTCTGCTCGCTCCCCTTCGGAGTTAGTATCGTGACGATGGAACCATAAGACTCACAGGCTTTGCCGACTATGATATTGCTGTGTTGTGGTGTATCTCTCGCGATTGTTTATTTATGAATAGAAGTTAACAAATTGAAGCCTGACTTCTTGTCTGCCTGAATTTCTTGAAATCGAGTAGCATTGTCTGGTGGGAGCATTTTAGCTCACCACCTTAACCGCAGGTACGTGTGTATGACCATATGAAGATCCTTGGCTGCCGCATGGGAGGTGTTTTGCCTTTTCGCAAGTCAGTTTCCTGACGATAGTTATAAGACGGGAGAGAAAGGATTCTTGCCGGATCCTCTTTGGGAGGATTCCGGCGATCTTTCAATCACATCCATTTATCGTACATCGTGCCGTCAGTTTTTGTTAAGTACTATTTATATTCAATTTAAAACAAAAAAATTTACAATAATTTCTGATCACACGATCTACGATGAACATGATCCAACGAGAATCCTCCTGGTAAGACGAGAAATGATTTTTGTACACATTTTTTCTTCTTGCACACATGGATGAATAGGCATTTCCGGCTATGACACGTGTAAGACAGCGAGCTGCTTCCAAAGTTCATGGCGATGGAGCCGTTTGTTCAGAGAAAGATTAGGGTTTTGTCTTTTTGAGATGTCTGATGTCTATCTTTCTGTTTCTTTCTCCTTCCTGTTACTTCGTTCCCTCTCAAACGACCTTTTCAGACTTTTGCTTTCATCACTTGGTCCTCCCTTATCCACTCTCTCTCTCTCTCTCTCTCTCTCTCTCACCACAAAAAATTAGGCCTCCCCTTATCCCCTTAGCTTATCGTTCTTTGCCTAAATTTGTGAGCTTGGATCTTCTATTGCAAAATATAATGTGGATTTGGGGGTTAATTAAGCTCGTTTGGAAGTGTTTTTGAATGTTTAAAAGTACTTTTGATGAAAATGTTTTTAAACTCAATCAGTCAATCCTTAATAAAAATATAAGTGAATTATGAAAAAGCACTTGAAGTGTTTTTGAAATCCAGAATCATTTTCTATAAAAGCATTTTAAGCTGTTCATATTCACCCGCTACTCTCTTTCTCTCAAATTCTTTAATGCACATTTAATAGTTAAATTTAATAATGTATGTCATACATGCATTGATGCACACTCGAATTTTTGTGTGTGGGCATTGGGTTTCTTGGAACTTTCATATGATCAGTCTGTGACATCCCACATCGTCCAGGGGAGTGATCCTTAAATGTATATTCCATCTCTACCTAGCATGAGGCCTTTTGGGAGCTCACTGGCTTCGGGTTCCGTAGGAACTCCGAAGTTAAGCGAGAAGGAGGCTAGAGCAATCCCATGATGGGTGACCCATTGGGAAGTTGCTCGTGAGTTCCCAAAAACAAAACTGTGAGGGAATGGTAAGCCCAAAGCGGACAATATCGTGCTACGGTGGTGGAGCAGACCCGGGAAGTGGTCCCCCCCCACCCCCCCGGGCCGGGATGTGACAATTTGGTATCAGAGCCTAACCCTGGTCGTGGTATGCCGACGAGGACGTCGGGCCCCTAAGGGAGGTGGATTGTGACATCCCACATCGCCCAGGGGAGTGATCCTTAAATGTATATTCCATCTCTACCTAGCACGAGACCTTTTGGGAGCTCACTGGCTTCGGGTTCCGTAGGAACTCCGAAGTTAAGCGAGAAGGAGGCTAGAGCGATCCCATGATGGGTGACCCACTGGGAAGTTGCTTGTGAGTTCTCAAAAACAAAACCGTGAGGGAATGGTAAGCCCAAAGCGGACAATATCGTGCTACGGTGGTGGAGCAGACCCGAAAAGTGATCTGCCCCGGGCCGGGATGTGACACAGTCATTCTTCTTCTTGCTTTTTAAAAAATGCAGTTAAGTGTATTCACGATATATTGACAATCATATTAATCGTATATCTATAATTGTAAGGTAGAAGTGCGAGCATTATCAATAGTTTCAAAAGTATTATTCAAAAAGTACAATTAAATTCACATTAGATAATCATAATGATCAATCCACAACCTAAACGTGAAATCAGAAACAAAAGCACAATTCAATTAAAAAAAAAAAAAAAAAACGAAGATACGCTTCTTGAATATAATCAGAACAATACTAACATTGACAATAAGAGTTCAGCTCTCATAACTCAGTGCATGTATTTGTTGAACTGATAAACTTGTTTTCAATAAAACTTTTATTAAGCACGTTTTAAACTTTTTTATTTTTATTTTTTAAATTTAAAAAAAAAACGACTAATTTGACTTTCTAAATTGAATTATTACCCGTTTTCTTCCTTTTTTTTGGTAAATGCAGTTTTATCAATTTTCTTCCTTTTTTTTTTACGATTGATTTTTCAGCATGACTGATAGTAGTATACTAAGTGTCACGATATAAATAGTGCGATATATATATTAAAAAGTTAATAACTTAAAAAATAAAATTTTTCATTATTTATATAAAAACACGTAATGTACCATCTATGTTTCTTTTGTACACATGATTGGTTGGTCAGACTAAAAACGTGGAAGTCGGAGGAAGAACCTGAGCAAGTGCAGCAAACGTCGCCCCCCACGTACGTACAGTTAAAGTATCCGTACAGGTACAGTAAATTTTACATTATTTGCAAGTACAAATTACCACAAAGATTCATAATTTTATGTGAACGAGATAAGATTTTAAACCAGGAACCCGGAGACAGTTACACGTGTCGAAGACGCAAGTGATGTGGCTCAAACGTAGGAACTGGTCCAAAGAGGTTTTGCTTTACGTAGCCGGTAAAAACCCCCACCAGTTACCGGTTCGCTCTGAATTATGGGGACGAGGTTCAAAACCTTATTGGGGGTTTAAGAAACAAGAGAAAAGAGTTAGGAGGTTTTTGTGGGGGGTTTTTGGTGATCCGACAGACAGACCCATTTTCGTAGGTGAGAACATTTGTGTTTTTAGACACCGATTTTTGTGTCTTTTTATGAAGAAACGAGTATAATTCTCTCTTTTGGTGCAGAGATTTTTGGTTTCGTTGATGAATTTTGAATTGGATGGGTGCTTTTCTTCATGAAAATGAAAACCCAGATCAGATTTTTGAATTTATTTATGTAAAGTTGATTTTTTTTTGTTTAATTTTGTTTGCTCTGATGTGTTTTTGTGTGTTTGTACATTTGAATTTCTTGGAATTTTTGTCTGCCTAAATCTGATCCCCCTGTCCTTTTCCTGTTAAAATATATGAATTCTAGAAAATGTGTGTCTTTCTCTCTCTCAAATATAAATATGATTTTCGAGATTAAGCGTAGCCAAGTTGGATAGACCAGGAGAATTCGGATTAGATAAGAATATTGCTCAAATAAAAATATATAAGTATAATTTTGTGATCTGCCATTTTACATTCTGTCAGAGTTTAATATTTTGGTTTCATGCTGTGTTATTAAAATATTACATCAATATATATATATTTCTTTTTTTTTTTTAATTGTTGGTTGAATAAAGAAAGGTGTGATCAGTTTTGTTGGTTTTGCAGAAACTGAGGGTTCCATTTCCATATCAGGCTCAAGTTATTATATATTGTAGTCTGCAATGGGTTGAATTGGAGGTTTTCCAACTACCCTTTTACCTGTAAGCCTTCTTTTACCCCTTCAAGTTTCGACTGTCACCCTTCTTGTCTGCATTGATGCATTTTGCATTAATTTTTCCTTTTTTTAATTTTATTTTTATACAAATGATATGAATTTGGGTCCTAATTCCTACGCTTACTTATTTTTTTCCTTATTCTGAAGATCTGGAAGTAATAAATAAAATGTTTGGTCAAGAATTAAAACTGCATTGAATCCTTAAAATGCTAAAAAAAATAAATAATTAACTTCCCAGAGTAAACGAGAGGGAAGCAGGAAAACTTCATTTGCTTGCACAGAATTTTTGGAATTTATTTTGACTATGATCTGTTGTTGTTCCGTGCTTTACTTGGTTGAATTGGTCCCGAAATTAGTCTTCTGTTTGTTTCAGAGCTCAATTTGGCTTTAAAATGTCGGGTTTCGCAGCAATTGGGACAACCACTTGGCAGCATATAAGAACTTATCTACATTATATCAGTGTTGTTAAAAAATAGTATGACTTGTTTGATATATTTCTGTCTTGGTGTTGTTAATCAATTTCCTCTCAAGCTTGGTGCGTATCTATTTCGATTATTTGGCACAAGTTCTGTTCTTGTTTCATCAGGATAATCCTGCAATCCACTCCCCAGCTTCACACCATACGTTTATGATGTGTCCTATCTATGGAACATGACAGAAACGTTAACCTATATTCCGAACGTTAATTGCTGATGAACTTCTGTGGTCTTTTTTTTTTCTTCACATGCATTTGATGCAGGACTTCCCTGGCTGCTAATTTGCTAATTCTTTTGTCTCCAGTTTCTGTGTGTATCATCATTGAATGCAGATGTGAATATCAGGTCATTACTGTTATCATATGTTTTTTATCTTATTGCAGTGGCAGATGTTACTTTTAGTGGATGACTCTTTGTACTTGCGATGAATGACTGAGATATGGTATTGCAGCGGAGGTTGGAATATGGCTTCAATGGCTACCGGGTGCCTGAGGTTCCTCGAGCTTCTAGATCAGCTAGGGTACATAAAGGCTCCCATGACCCATCTTATAGTCGTCTATTGACAATTTTTTTCATGTGTATAAGGAGTCCTGATTGCATTAGTCATTATTATGTTTATTTTAGGGGAGGGGACCTATCAGGAGTAAATTTGAGGCCAATCAGATTCATGCGTTTGAGAGTTTGGCTGGTGTAGCTGGTAAACTATTGCAGGAGAGCAAAGACCCTCTGCCAACTAATGATTCTTGTGGAAAGGATCCGCATTTCAAATTTGACGTTATTACTAAAAGCGAACAACAGGATACAGGAAACTTGTTGAAGGAAGAACCTTGTGAATTGGGAAGCTGTGATGAGGAAACCTTTTTATACGTGCACGGCTTGCAAGAGCCCCGAGAAAGCTATACATTGAATGGGGTTTCACATTCTCAGGAAAATTTTAGTTATGAGATCAACTCGGTGTCAAAAAGTTTAGATTCAGAGGGGATCAATATTGGTAAGGGATTGGGTGCAGTTGATAGCAGAATTTTTAGTGGAAGCTATTCTAACAAAGTAGTTAATGACTCTCCCTTATCTGGAGAGACCATTGTAGATCTACTTAAGAGGAAGCGAGCGACTGAACCATCACAGGATACCAGTATAAAGGATGAAAGAATCGAGTTTCTAGGCAGTTCAGAGGATGTAATGGAAGTAGAAGAAAGGCCTCATGAGCTGGTCAGTTCTGAACATGATGTGAAGACTCTGTTTTCAAGGGAGTGCAAAAATCGAGGACCTTTTCTCCGCCACCGTTCTAATATTAGAGAAGTTAATAGAGATGATGATGAATACACCATGACAAAGGAATATGAACACCCACCAGACAACGGTGATAGGACAATAATGAATCTGGCTGCATCCGGGCATGGTAATCGGCTTTACAATGCACTGTTGTTTTTAATGTAAAGTAGGTTTTGGGTTCTGTGGTAGCAATTCATGATCATATCAGTGTTCTTGTCTTACAATGGAAACTCTTTTTCTTGTGTACTTTTATTGTAATCACCCCACCTTTCTGGATTTTATGTTATTTATGATAAATAATAGCTCTGATACCCAATTGATGGTTTCAGATGGGAAAAGAAGGCAAGTTAACCGCAATTGGAGAACTTGCTACGCACATCAAAGGTCACAAAAGATTTATCCTTTCAAAAAGAGAAAGCTCTTTAATTGGAGTCCACTCAATACATCTGATAGAGGGTGTAACTGTGAAGACATATTCAACTCCCCCGACAAGATAGTAAATGGCGACAGCTGCTGCGCAGGTTCAATGATTTGTCTGCTTTCCATTTTCAACATATGTGTAGATAGTGATAAACTCTGCGTTTATGTTTAGGGTTTGGATTTTAGGGATGTATTCAAGTTTGGCTGAAAAGTCCTAGTTCTTGAATGCAGCAGTTGGATCATCCTCAACGACGGGTCAGCAAGTGCCTCCCAAGTCTAACAATTGTAATGTTATGAATGTCTGCAGTAAAGCTTTACAACATAATTGTCGTTTTATGTTATGATTGTCTTACACACTTATTTCTTTTGTTAATCAGTGAAGCTTAGTATTAAATCCTTCAAGGTCCCTGAGCTGTTTATTGAAGTTCCTACAACCGCAACTGTTGGTTCATTGAAGGTTTGTGTTATTGCCTTTTCTGATATGTTCATACATAAACTTTGCGTGCATATTGTTTCTTTAGGCCTAGTTTATCTTTTGAGGGGATGGCGGTGGTTAAAACTAAAAATACTCTCTGGTTTTTTGAATTTCATATGAAAGATCAGGTCAAATCAAATCTGTTACACCCGAGCGATTGAAGATTACTTCAATTTATGTCATACGATTTTTTGACATTATTCTGGTTTTCCTTGAGCTGGATAAATTAAGCATGGTTGTCATATATTGATTTGGGTGATTGTAATTTCTTACACCGAGCAAGGTTGGTTGGGTGGAGTGTATAGTTTCAGCCCTGGGTTTATATTTTTTGGGAGCACTAGTGGCTGAAGTAAGGAGGCATTTCGCTTTTTTGGTTGTTCATTGCTGGAACTTAACTACTAGGTTATGATTAAGAATATGCTGAAGGTATGTAAATTCTTTCCTTTTCTGTGTATTTGATGTGGCATCTTAATTGAGTAGAGGAACAAAAATAGATCCATAATTCGTTCTATCATTTTGTCTAGATTTTTTGGTGATAACTAGTTAGGTAATTTTTCTGCAGAGGACAGTAATGGAGGCAGTAACGTCAATACTCGGAGATGGATTACATGTTGGCATCCTGGTCCAGGGAAAAAAGGTCAGAGATGACAACAAGACTCTACTTCAGACAGGGATTTCTCAGGATGACAAGCGACATAATTTGGGTTTTATATTGGAGCCCAAACGGGCAAAGCTTACGTACCCTCCATTCAGTGAAGATCCATCTTTGGTATCTGGCAGGTCTCAGGAGTTAACCAGGTGACCATATAAAAATGTGTTAAAACTTATGATTTAAATCATCATATTCGTGCCCCACTCTGGGTATACTCGGAATTACTTCTTGGTTTTCAAATCTTAGATTTAATATCGTTGCTTATGTTTATGCCAGTATGTTTTATTGACAGGCATTCGACATCTTTGGTGTCACAACCGGGGACTTCAGATGTCTCGATGAATCCTCCAGTACTCAGTTTGGGTGGCCGCAATGGTAGAGACTTCAAAGTTCCTTCTCTTGCTGGTACTTTGATTGGCAAAACTCCGCCAACATGCCAAGCTCTTGTTGCAGTTCCACCAGTTAGCATGAAGGCATTGGCTGTGGTTCCTTTCCATCGGAAATCTGGGCATCAAGAGTATGTACAGCGCCGAATCAGGAGACCTTTCTCTGTTCCAGAAGTAGAAGCATTGGTTCAGGCTGTTGAGAAACTTGGAACGGGAAGGTTGGTTTGAACTTTTATTATAATTATTTCTTTTGTTATGGCTGAGGAAAATTAGTAGCACGATGCAGATTGTGAGAATTTTCTTCGGTTGCAGGTGGCGTGATGTTAAGTTGCGTGCTTTTGAAAGTGAAAAACATCGAACTTACGTGGATTTGAAGGTTAGTGTTTTATCTGATAATTGTTTAGTAGAAGCAAAAAACGGAATGGTTTACAACATTGTTGCCATTTAACAAAATGTGGAAAATGGGAATGGGGCAGGACAAGTGGAAAACACTGGTGCACACAGCAAGGATCTCCCCGCAGCAAAGGAGAGGAGAGCCCGTTCCACAGGAGCTTTTGGACCGGGTCCTTGCCACCCATGCCTACTGGTCTCATCGGCACGCCAAGCAGCAGGTGAAAGTGGCGGTCTGAGCCCGGGGCTTTGTAAAAGAGAACTGGAAGGAGAAGGGTATATTGTCTATATGTAAAGATTACAGACAGAAAACTTGACATGTAAATGTGACTTGATGTAAAATGCTGCCTTTAACTTGACCCACAAGACACCAAATCTTTTATTTCCCAGTTAAGTAGTGTCTTGTGATTCAATGCACAATTAAATTTTCAAAATTTTGAGGGTTGTTTCTACCAACATTTGACTTGTCAGGTATACCTTAATCTTGTTGTGTACTTAATACTTTGTTTTCTATCCTCTCTCCCTACAAGTCAATTTCGTCAAGCCATTTGAAATAATAGTTTTTGAGTTATTCTTACACTTGAATATTTGAGAGATACTCTTTGTAATCAATTTGTCACGCGGCAAGTTTTTATTGGATAGGTAGTTCGGTTTTTTCAACACGTAGCAAATATTGATTGGTTAAGTGACACTACGAAAAGTCTGAGACTATAAATAGATTGTAAGATTGGAATTACGTGTTCGTAACATTAAATAAAACAAATGAAACAGCTGATAAGACAGAAGCCTAATCAACAACAGGATCACAAACACACATTATTAAATACATAACTAAGATCTATAAACAAGAATCCTCAGGGTGTTGTACTATGCACATGGTTCACCGTTGGTGAGACAAAGGAGCATGTGAAGGAATTTCAATTGATGGATTTCTCATCTGTGTTTTGGGAATTCCATGTGCTTAATTTGGGATGTGCTATATCCACACATCCTATTTTATTTCTTACACACCTTTTGATAATTATTGTCTGTTGATCTTCTTCAATTCATCCGATCCGACGGCAGAAAATTAAAAAAGTGTGTGAGAAGTAAAATGGGATGTGTGGATATCACACCCCTCTTAACTTGAGTTGATCACTTAATTAAGCACTAATTAAAACTAGAATTATTATTTAAATTGAGTATTAGGTAGAGAGATATGTGAAGTCAGCTCTTACTACAAGCAAAGTTACATTAATGATGATCCATAATTAATAATTAGAGGATTTGTTTATAAGAAAGTCTTGTGTATTTGGTATGGAAGTTGTGTATAATGCATTGAACTTATAGATTTGATAAAGTATTAGAGTTAATCTTTTGCATCTGAAAATCACGGATAAATTGTTTGTTTGTGATGAGAAATTTTGTACAACGGTCACACTGTTACATGGATGCTATTGGTAGTTTGATACGTGTCTACTTCACTTAGTTTTGCGGTTTGGTCGTATTTGTTTTCATTTGCACTTAAGAAATTTTAGTTAACAGGAGACATCTCAATATCATAACACGAACCGAAAAGCAAACTCTTAACAGAGCTTCTTTCAAATAACATAGTTGTCCTATTTTTTCTTCTTATCTTCTAATTTATTTATCTTATGTATTCATCTTTTATTAATTTTTTTATTCATAATATTTCTATTTTTGGTTTTTTTTTTTTGAATCTTATAAATGAAATGACGAATTCGATTTTAATTTATTCCCGGCATCTCTTAGTGTAAATATATTAGCGTATAAAAAATGTGATAATGATTAGACACAAATCTAAAAATTTAAACTTATCAAATAATAACAGATAGAACAAAAATATTCTAAGTTGAAAACTGGCACCAACACTTCCTTTTTATCTTCTTGCATTTGCCCTTTTGTTTTTAAGTGCAGGATGGAACAAATCGATGAATGATGAACAAAAACAAAAAAGAAGTGCACAGTACACAGACACAAACGCACAAACGCACAAACACACATGACCAATCCAAGTGAACGAGTCAACCTCCAATTGGAACAATTTGTTGTGGGAAGCACTTTCTATCACTGTCTTTCGATGAGAATTAAAAACTCATCCTTTTCCCTTGGTGCCACTTTCTGTTTCTGCTTTTTGAAAGATGCCCCCATCCTCATTTCTTCTGCTATTTCCACTTACTATTTCTTTCCAACCGGTTACAAAATAAACAGTTTAAGTTAATAGTCTGATAAGATAGCATGATTATTGTTTAATGAGATAAGATGACGTCATTAAATAACACGAACATGACAAACACTAGATGATTACCAAGTTTAATATCATTTGTATGTGCACACACACAACTAGGGAAGGTCAAACTGTATGGGGGTCCTTCACTAGATCCCCTTCACCTTCCCTAGTACATGAAGGCCTCTTAAATATTGTGTGGGCGCATAAGTGACCTAGTTCTAAACCTTAACACGAGAATTTCTCTATAAATAGAGGGGTTTTTTTTTCTTCTCAAAAGTGAATAAAACGGGAGTGCAACCCACAAAGATAGGTTGGTCATTTTTGGATGTCCTCGTCCAATAATGATTTGTCGTTATTTCTATTTTGACTGTATTATTAGACTAAAACTCGACATTTAAAAGAGTAATGACTAGAATTTTATGACTAGAATTTTTCTCCAAAATTGAAAAGAGTAATGAGCCACGTGGAATAAGTCTGTTTTCATATTGACACGTGGCCACTAGGAATAAAAACCGTAGTTGAAGTTCACGAGAGATTTTAAATGTGCTTCGGACACAGACGGTATACAACATGTCATTACACAATTAGAGACACAAAGTAAAAAAGCTTTTCTCCACTTAAATAATACCTGTCCAAGTTCAACGGACTCCAAATCGACGGTTGCTGTTCCTCTATTAACCCACAAAGGACAACCTTAAAATTCTAAAACCCAAACCTCAGATTGTTCCCTCTCTCTCTCTCCCCCTCTCTCTTCTGTAATCTCTCAGTGAGCTTCAGAGCTGGAACTTAAAGGTAAGTTTTTGTTAATTTTGTTGTTCAATATAACTGTAACCCGTTTAGCGGTTTTGTTTGACCAGCATTCCTGGGTATTTCAATCGTTTTCTGTTCGTAGTTGACTTGGTATTGAATTAATTAATTAATTCTGTTTTTTTTAATCGAAAAGTTTGGTCCTTTTCTTCTCATATGCATTTGCTTTTTTATCTGTCAAATTTAAGGTTTCTGCTTGCTTTTTATGCTTTAGTTTGTGAATTTCTGAGGTTTTAAGGTTTCCATGTTTGTAGATTTACTTGCAGAGGTTTTGATTTTCATTTTTGTGTTCTAATGGATTTTTAGGGTTGAAGAGGGAAACTGATTTGGTAGGAAATTCTGCTGCTTTTTTGGATTTGGGTTTTCTCTCTTAGTTGAGATTCTAGAGAGAGAAACTGTAGAGAGAGAAATTACAAAGTAGATGACCATGGATCCTCGTCTTAGGGCTTTCTCTGATTCTTTCAATGGAGTTCAATTGGGAAACCAACCTTTACCCATTCTTTCACAACCAACCGTTGTAGCCGCATCCCGATTCGATGGTAAAACCTGCTTGGACAATAATTACAGAAATTTCGATTACCCTCAACCCGGTCTTACCCCGAATAGTGTATCTTCGTACTCGAGTGTGAGTCCTGAGGATGATTCTGCCGAAGATTGTGACTTTTCGGATGTAGTCTTGAAGTACATAAACCAGATGCTCATGGAAGAAGATATGGAGGAAAAAACCTGCATGCTTCAAGAGTCGTTGGAGCTTCAAGCGGCCGAGAAGTCATTCTATGAGGTCCTTGGAAAGAAATATCCCCCCTCCCCTGATTTATACCGGGGTTATGCCGGTCAATATGGCGAGAGCCCGGGTGAAAGTTCATCTGGAACTTGGAGTAACTATATCACTAGTAGTTGCAACAGTGGTGGTTATTTCGGTGATAATTCCTCGATTCAAAGTCCAGATGGATATTCGTCTCAGTTACAGGGTCTTCCGGATTATAGCATTTCTCAATCATTTAACGGGTCTTCAACTAGGGTCAGTAGCCTCGACGGGCTGGTGGATGCTCCTAGTAGTAGTATTTATACCCCAGATTTGAAGACTGAGAGCCAATCTGTTTGGCAGTTCAGGAAGGGGGTTGAGGAGGCTAGTAGATTTCTCCCTTCCGAGACTAATTTGGTTGTTGATTTGGAGGCAAATGGGATGTCGGTACACGTGCCAAATGTTGGGACAGGTGCGCCATTTGTCAAGGCGGAGAGAAAGGATGGAGGAGAATATTCTTCTGGAAGGTCAAGGGGAAAGAAGAATCTATATAGGGACGACGAAGATGTGGAGGAAAAAAGGAGTAGCAAGCAAGCCGCTGTTTCATCTGAATCTCCTCTGCGGTCAGAGATGTTTGATGTTGTATTGCTTTGTAGCACAGGGGAGGGTCTGGAGCGTTTGGGTTCTCTTCGTGAGGCCTTGCAAAATGGAATGAGCAAAAGTGTGCCACAGAATGGGCAATCCACAGGATCTAATGGAAGAAAAGGTCGTGGTAAGAAACTAAGTGTTAAAAAGGAGGTGGTGGATTTGAGAACCCTCCTAATTAGTTGTGCACAAGCAGCTGCAGCTGATGATCACAGGACCGCAAATGAACTGCTAAGGAAGGTCAGACAACATTCCTCACCTTTTGGAGACGGGACACAGAGACTTGCTCATTGCTTTGCTAATGGCCTTGAGGCACGCTTGGCTGGTACTGGTAGCCAGATTTATAAAGGTCTTGTTAGCAAAAGGACATCGGCTGCCGATTTCTTGAAAGCTTATCATCTGTACCTTGCTGCATCTCCATTTAAGAAGATGTCTAATTTTGTTTCGAATGTCACAATAAGGAATTTAGCAGAAAAATCGACAAGGCTCCATGTCATTGATTTTGGTATCCTATATGGTTTCCAGTGGCCCACCCTTATTCAACGGATCTCATGGAGGGAAGGCGGACCCCCAAAGGTTCGGATTACTGGAATTGAATTTCCTCAACCAGGATTTCGGCCAGCTGAGCGAGTTGAGGAAACAGGACGACGTTTGGCAGCTTATGCTGAGAATTTCAAAGTGCCGTTTGAGTACAATGCTATTGCAAAGAAATGGGAAACCATTACACTTGAGGAACTCAAGATTGACAAGGATGAAGTTCTTGTTGTGAACCTTTTATATCGGGGTAAGAACTTGCTTGATGAAAGTGTGTCTGTGGATAGCGTAAGAAACAGGGTTCTAGCTTTGATAAGGAGAATCAATCCAGACATTTTTATCCATGGAATTGTTAACGGAGCGTACAATGCCCCCTTCTTCGTTACCAGATTTCGAGAGGCGTTATTTCATTTTTCTGCGCTGTTTGATATTCTTGAAACTGTTGTTCCACGCGAGGATCAGGAGAGGATGTTAATTGAGAAAGAGATCTTTGGTAGGGAGGCTATGAATGTTATAGCCTGTGAGGGCTGGGAGAGGGTTGAAAGGCCAGAAACGTACAAGCAATGGCAAGTTCGTAACTTGAGGGCTGGATTTGAGCAAATACCTTTTGACCGAGAGCTGGTAAAGAGGGCGGCTAAGAAAGTGAGCTCTCTTTACCACAAGGACTTTGTCATTGATGAAAATAGCCAGTGGCTGTTGCAGGGATGGAAGGGACGAACCGTCTTTGCCCTCTCTGCTTGGAAACCTGCTTAAGAAATGTCAAACGGTACAGTGCGTATAATTTGCTTCTCAGCTTCTTCAACACGGATGCTTGATTAAAGGTAATCATGTTCCTGGATTCATGTTTTTGTAATCTTTAAATCCTTGTCTCTCCCTCCCTCCCCTTGTTATCATGCTCTCACATTTGTTAATATGTGGCAGGTACATGGGGTTGCTGACTTTAATTGTTGATTGTTAATTACGGATCAAGGATGCTAAGAGATGTTCATGAGAGATGCTTTGTCTCCTTGGTAGAAATCTTGCGGAATTGTCGAGTAACTCTTCTCTTCGGTCAATTTGGATCGTGTGATGTACTCTTTTCATGGTGTCTGATAATCCGATAGACCCATCCAGCAAATTACGGGCTCGTTCTTGTTCGATTTTAACAACCAGAACAAGATAATGTGCAGTTTTACACCAGTTGTATTAAGGAAACTCTTTACTTTTGCTCATTAGTCTCCTTCCTCCTTTGTCTTTTTAGTTAGAAAGGAGTACAGCTGACCATTTTGGAGTGTCAATATTATTATTATTATTTCTGAGACGTCTGGAGTTGTCCTGCATATAACATTTGGTATGGTAGTTGGCATTTCCTTTGTTTCTAAACCCTACATGTCACGGAAGTGATTGTCGCACGCCCTTTGATCTCTGTCTTTGCTTTTGGATTGAATAAATCAAAAGGCAGACACATAGAAGTGTGGAATGAGAAAAGTGGTGTGCGGCAATCAATTTTCCAACATTACAATAATAAAAGAAGCCAACTCTTTTGGGATCAAATGCAAAAATGCCACTTTGATGGAAATTTAATTAATCCTTCACTTGGTACATGAATGATAAACAACTGTCAGTGACTATTATCATTTTATTAGGCAAACCCATAAAATAATGCAATGTAAGCTCATCATTTTACATCTCTTGGTGTCTCACTTGGATGTGCCAAGGGCGTCGCACTGACGGTAAACTTGTTCTAAGAAAGTCATTCCGCTTGGACAATCAACCACAGGTTTCTATGTACGAAACTTTCTAATATTTTGGGAGAATCTGCGGTCTTCCGATGTGTATACACCAAAATGTCTGGCTCACTCGTCAAGTTCTTCAGGCAACCTTGGCTCGTCGAACCATCGAGGAGGATCATATCCAGTCCCACCTAAGAAAAATGTTAAATGAAACAATTCACCTAAACTTCAGAGACCCAGAAAAGGATTAAATGAAATCTCAACAAAGTTAATTAGGAAAGTGTTAAGTTAATTACCAAGAGGATTACAACGACAGATTCGCCAAGCAGTCAAGATGGAACCTTTTGCAAATCCGTACTTCTTGTAAGCTTGCATCGAGTACTCACTGCAGGTTGGTACATAACGGCAACTCTTCAACATCAGAGGTGAGATTTCCCCTGCATTTTTTACCCAATTAATTTACTTCATTTTTCCTTTGACAAGCGATATTCTAACTACTCTAATTTAAGTCGAATGGAGAGCACGAACTGCTTTAGCTAATTGGTCTAACCTGAATTGGCTATTAATCGCGTTTTTCTAATACAATTAGAGGTGAGATTTACACTAAGTTACACAGTATACCAACCATAATTTAGTATCGAAGTAGCCATATATGGGAGTCCATCGCGGCCTATTAATCTTAATGAAGAGATATGCCACTAAACCGTAATGCTTACGTTTTAATAAGCGATAAATAATAATTAGAAAAGAAACTCACTTCTGTAGAATTTGAGTAGAGATAATGCAGCTTTAACCCCCAAACTGTCCACTTCCTTATCTGATTACAAGCAAACTGCCTTATGAGCATGGAAATGTTCAAAAATCGAGAGAGAGAGAGAGAGAGAGAGAGAGAGAGAAAAAGAGAGTACCTTGTGGATTGTTTGGGTCGGACTGCGAGTCTCCATTGGCTCCATGGATTATTGGGCGACGACGAGCCGTACAAGAATTGTATTGAATGGGGTAAAGTTTGCGCGAATTGAAGCTAGGGTTTTGGGATTGGGGATGAACAGCTATAGCCAAAGGTTTATGGTAGTTAACCAACATAACGACCGCCATCTTCAGCTACCCTTTCCAGTCATACGTGCTTATGATATTTTCTTCGTTTTCTTCGTTTTTTATCACTTTTGTTTTAAATAAAAAATATCAATATGAAATTATTTGGAGAAACTTATTTGAATTTCTTAAATAGTACATAATATTGAATGATGAGAATATATTTTATAATACTTTTAAAATGACTTAAAATGTTTTGAATGAAAGTGATTTTGAAATCAATTATTAGTAAAAACATAAATGAATCATTGAAAAGCATTTAAAATACCTTTTGTCTAAAGTGCATTTGAAGTGCTTTTAGGACTCAAAAACACTTTTATCAATAGCACTTCAGTAGTTTTAGCACTTCCAAATAAATTTTGAATGGCTGAAACTAAAGATAAAAGATCTTTGTATTAGAAATCAAATTTAATAGCTAAAACACTCTTAGTATTGTATAATAATGTCTTTTAACATTATTCAATAAAAATATTATTTACAAACAAGTAGCAAAGAGTTGTAGCCGCGAACAACAAAAAGCAGAGGCCAACAAAGCTGCACCAAAGTAGCAACAAAAGACGGAAAAAGTACACCAAGTAAAGCGCAACAGACAAACACTAACTATTCATGGGATATTCCATTCCCATGAAATAATCTCATTAGCAACGGAATGGGCAATTTCAAGAAACTTATCAAAAGTCTAATAGTGGATCTAATTGAGTTAAGAACACCGTAGTCGGTTGACACTTATTCTTGAATAAACATTTGTTCTGCTTCCTTCAAATATAAAAAACAGTAGCAGCAAGACACAAATACAAATGACAATAGAGATTTTTCCTTTCAACTGTAAGCAACCCACACGAGAAGAGGAGGCCAAGGGAGCTTTAGCCAATACAACACTCGATCACCGCCGAATACTAAATACCGTCAATATACGGACATCGAAAAAAGAGGTGGCAATGAAATTCTGTAGCACTAGAGTAGAGGACGCACAAGTGATTGGAGCCAACATAGCAAAAATCAAAATCCTGTCTAAAATGTAAAGCTTGCATTTAACGGCCAATCAGAGAGAAGAAACTCGTTTGGTGAATATTTTGATTATACCAGACAAGTTGAGACCAATATACATTAGGCTTAGACTGTCCAAACCTATCCAAAGCAGAATAAGCAGAGTAGATGCCAAAAGACAAAGGAGTCCCTCGAATCATATTAACAAAGCTAGGATTTTGAACAATATTAGACAGAAATTTGAATTTCCAACCACTCATGAGAATAAGTATGAGTTCAACACAAATTAGAACCATTCAGAATATTGCAAACCAATGCAGTTTTAGGCAGTGCGGAACACAATGATATTGCAACACAAATTGACAACAAGATGACCAACGGATGCCAATTGTATAAAAAAATATTTTACCAAGTGTGAGCTTTTATATAAATTGAGTTTGCTTAATTATTTTTCTCTCTCAACGCCCAAGGTTGAATATCTTTGCTTAAATGAATATCGTATTTGTTAATAGTGGCATACTATGAAATCATTTTATGGCATAAGCTTAAAAAGGTTTGTTTGTACCATACTTTATTAATCTTGAAACTATCAAGTACCATCAACTTCATACATTCAGGGACCTATTGAAGGATTGTGTTGAGGCAACTCTGCTGAAGCACAATAGTTTCTCTCCAACATGAGACCAATCATAACACAACACATGTCAACATTAGAATAAAACTTCTAGGGTCCCACATCGACCGCGAACGAAAGCCAAAGACCTTCCTCAACTATAAACGGAGATCTTTCTTCCTACAATTAAGGACAAATGCCATTATTGTACTTAAACTCGTCATTAAAACTCACTAATGATGATTATGCTTGAACCTATGTATTATGTAAACTCTTCACTATTAATGAGAGCTCTACTCTGTGAACTTAGCCCAACTTAGGATGAACCACGTACATCTTGTGTTTGCTTCCCTATCTTTATCTTTCTACAAATTCACCCACTTAGTGATTGGAGCAACTGTGCGAAGTCGCAAACTTAGACACTTTACGTTGTTCCAAAGTCTCATTGATTTTGTGCATCAACAAGGTTAAAACTTACTATTCCCAAACACGACCACGTCCTACTTATTTTAATAAGTTTAGGGCTTGTTTGGTAAGTGCCTTTAAATGCCTAAAAGAGTTTTAAGAGAAAATATTTTTGGAGTCAATCCTTATTAAAAATGCAAGTTAATCATGGAAAGCACTTGACGGGCTTCCTGCAAGAAGCACATAACTGGTTCTTGCAAGAAGCACATAACTGGTTCTTGCAAGAAGCACTTCAAATGCTTTTAAAACTCAAACATTTTCCCTAAACAAGCTTTCAATCATTTAAAAGCACTTCCTAAATGAGCCTTTAGTTCTCAATTGGCAAGGCAGACAATGAAGGAGAAACTAAGGTTTCCCTGTCAAAGAACACCAAAATTCACAAGCCAAAATAAGGGAAAAGGTAAAAACAAGCTCTGGCGCATTATTAAAAGTGCAGGCACAGTGACATGCTAGTTCTTTGATCCCTGCATTACAAATTAAAAACTGTTCAAGCTGCATACGCATATGCTATTCATTTTCTACCCTTTTTGTCCCAGTATAAACAGAAACTCATACGGGGAGATGTTCGCTTTGGCATTACAGAAGCCAAAAATTAATATCGGGTAGTGATCTGGGAAAATAAAGCCTTAAAATCCTTGGTCGGTGTCCCAGTTCCCTCCGGCTTTGAGGCCAAATCAAATGCCTTGAACTTGGCCTCCTCGAACTGCAGTGCCTGATCAAAACGCAAACAGTTCAGTACAATGCATAACAATTGCTCGAAAAGTTGATACTGAGATGCATGCTAGCTTTGAGGTAAGCAGAGAAAAAGGAAACAAAGAAATTATTTATTCACAATACCTGAATGCAGACTTCTGCGACATCAGGTCTAGCAATGGTTCTTGTTTCGGTCTTAAGAAGCTCGTCATCCTTCCCTATAAGTAGTTCACGGATGCCTCCTTCTTTGTCTTGCAAGCCTCCAGCCCTAGTTTAACCATAGACGTCTAAGTCAGTTGGAAGTCAAGGAAATAAAAAAAAAAAGACCAGATCGGAGCATAACTAGGTATGGAATTTAGTGATTTGAACTTCTGTTGACACTAGACTGATGCACATAACAAGCAGACAATCTTTAGTAGGAAATGAAATCTAGGCATCGTTCCAGCAGACAAGATTTAGTATCTGTATTCATGAGGGATCACAACAATAAAGGGCTGTTTTGGTGTTTTAGAAGTTCTCAAACATTGTGTTGGCCAATGCAAAGCAGCATAAACAATGGCTTCGTATATCATCATTGTGAGGGTGGTTGTCATAAAAAGACTTCTATTTTTCCAGTAACAGTAGCAAGGAAAGCAACCAGTGATTTTACAAAGTCTACTCAATACAAACATATTGTTTGAACCGAGTCTGAATATAACTGGACCAACCTTATGATTGTGTATGGAATTCCGGAGTCAGCCAAATACTGCTCAGCCTTCCTCTTCCAAACCTGTGTTGTAATATATTGCATAAACATTTATAATTAACATATAAGCAGGAAGGAATAGATCAGCAAAGTCAAATTCCATTTCCAAAAACAGAAGGCCGAAAAGCAACCACAAAAGGTGGTAACTCAAATGTAGAAAGGGATTACTAACCAATATGTTGCCATTACCCAATTTGTTCAGGGGATTGTTAAGATCTGTTCCGCCCATAGACCCAACTAACACAATCTGCTTCACTCCCGCAGCCTTAGCTGTTCACATTTATCATATAATTCAAAACTTACAAGTTGAAATGAACCATGTTTCGATTGAATGGAAACAAACATAAAAATTCTCACCAGCATCTATTTGGTTTTTCTGTCCAATCCAATCAACCTAAGATGCAAACCATGTATCAGAACAAGGAGCAAACCAGAGATTCTGAACACCACCGTTGTAGAACCACCTACTTACAATGTCCTAAAGTCATAAAAAATGACAGAAATTACCTGTTCAGGATACGACCCGTCTTCAAAATAGAACTCAGGCCTCCCACCTTTGGTCGGATCAAAGCCAGGTTTCATCTTAGGCACAGCGCTTGTAAGGATTATGAGAGCATCGATGCCTTGGATTGCAGGTAGAATGCTGTCAGCATCCCTTATATCTCCAACATAAAGATCATCTGCTCCGCCAATGATCTGTTTGCTCTCTTCAGTCCTAACCAGACCCCTAGCAACATACTGGTCTGACCTCTCCTTTAACTTCTTATAAACTAGTTCACCTGCCAAGTTTCCACCAATAATACATTTCAATCAGAAACCTATCCTTAAACAGAGGGGAAATACAATTTCCTCTCCTGCTTCCGTCGCCATAGATGTTGGAGCAAATACAACCCAAACAAACACATTCACAGTAACAAAACATACTTCCGTCGCCATAGATGTTAAGTCAACTCAAACTACACACATTCACGATAACAAAGCACGCTAACTGTTACCAAAATCACAAAACCCCAAACCCTAAACAGGTCACCTTACGCTTACAGCGTGCAACACACCGAGCATCTCTCCCACTCAACAGACATGCTTCTCCACAAAAAAAAACACCCAATTATCTCACACATTTCTGCTCACACACTATGGGACTGCACAGGTCCAATTACCCCACCATTAATCCCACAACCCAAATACTAAAATACACATCTTGTAATGCTTTGTACTAAAACCCCACAACCCAAATACTAAAATACACATCTTGTAATGCTTTGTACTAAAACTTAATAAATTTATTGAGTCCATGACTCACTCAGGATTACAGATTCATAATCTAGGAAATATAAACAATAATCTACTCGAATTTTGAGAGCTGTTATTGGTACTTCAAAAATCTCGTTTTGCTCGTGTATTTTTCATTTTAAATATAAAAAATTTGGACTACTAATAACAATTCATAAATTTATTGTGTTACAATTTATTAGTTTAGATGAATTTAATTTAATTATCTTTATCGTTTATAAAAAAGAAAACTTGAATCCAGATTAAAATTATATAATCTATAAAACTGAGCGCCCAATCAACACCTATTAATTAATTAAATTAATTTAAAACAGTCAACTTCCGGGTGTGTAATCAATTAGAAATTTGAAAGATTTTAATGGAATTATAATTCCATAGATTTTTATGGAGTTTAACCGATTTGTAGAGATTCTATGTAAAATTTTGATTCAATTCTCTCGAAATCTCATGAGAAGATGTGAGATTTGTATATGCTTAAAATACACTGCAAAATCTCTCAAATTCTCTCAAATTCCTCAACTTTTCCAAATTCTCTAAATTCTAATTCTATCACATCTGAAATATTATAAATTTCTTTAAAATTCTAATTGATTGCTCCGGATTTCTAAGAATTTTAATAAATTATCTCAAAATTATAATTGAATATATATTAAATTTCAGATAACCACTTACGATCCTAATTAAATACCTAAATTCATTAAAATAATTAAAATACCTTAAAATCCCAATTGAATATCCTGTTTAAAATTCTTGTTCAATAATTAACAATTAAAAACGAGAGAGAGAGAGAGAGAGAGAGAGAGAGAGAGAGAGAGAGAGAGAGAGAGAGAGAGAGAGAGAGAGAGAGAGAGAGTAAGTACCAGTTCTACCACCAGCTCCAGTGACAAGGACGGTGCTTGCACCTGAATCCGCCATGGCCTTCGTGACAAGGATACAACAGAAAATGAAGTGGATTGAAATAAAAGGGTCGATCTTTCTGGAACTGCCACCCAACTACATTTATGACATTGATTATTAGAGATAACCACGGGAACACGTGGTGCCACTGCCACCATTGCCATCATCGTGTTCCCACTGCCACCATTGCCATCATCACTAATGAGACCCAAAACTTAGTTGTGCGGACTGTTCCATTTGCTGAATTGTTCTTCACTGGTACCTGTTAATTCAATGAGTTTTGTCGGTGGGTTGCTTATCCTTTAGCTCTTGTGAAATTCTATTACCTTATTATGCGCCTTATCTCTTTGTCATTTGGTCATGGAGACATGAACTTACATCTAAATGATTTACCCTGACATACTGTTTGGACCCAAATTTACGCTATCGGCCCATACAATCAAGGCCGTTAGATGAGTAAAATTCTAAACTGTTGGATGATAAAGTGGTTGAGATAATCTTCAATTATTATTAAGGAATAATATTGTGGTTTTTAATCATAATATTATCTCTTAATATATATTGGATTATCTAAGCTTAATATTGGCTATATCCAACGAATCGTTTAAAGATAAATGAAGAAGCAAATCATATTTCCAGCAGAAGTACGTTTCAAACAGGTTTGAGATGTTTGGTACGACCCACGAGTCATGATCACCAAAATGGCCTGCACCTTTGGGATTTGAGGGATTTTTTTACCGTGGCTAATTATGACCTAAACCTAAGTCCTATATAAAAGTGGGACCCAGTGCTAAAACTACGAAGTTTATATGATATATCAAGATGTCAATCCGGCTCCATGTAGCCGATTGCACGAGCTTCTTGAGCAGTTGAAAAGAACCAGAAAGGAGAATACACAACGCCTTGAGGAGAATAGAAAACGCCTTGAGGAGGATAAAAAATCGTGGGAAACGGTAAAACTTCTTCGTGGCGTGAGAGCCAGGCAAAAATCATTCGCCTACATGTTGGGAGTAAAAGCTCCTATTACCCTACAAGAGCAATGGGTAGACGAAGACATGGCTCGATTTAATGCCTGGCTAGATGAAGAATGTTTTCCTTACATTTCTGATTACAAATCAATTCCATTTGAAAAATGGTTAAGTCTTAGGGCCGGGGGGCAATTTTTCACTCTGGCCACAATTAAAATTCGGTCTCAGGAAACTGCCCAGACGGCCGAGGAAACACATAGGCCACCTATTGTCTCGGTTGAGACTGAAAGTGTGGTAGGCCTAGAAGAAAATGTTCAAATTTTTGAGCCAAAGATTGACTCAGGAGATGATTCATCAGAGGAGAGTTCCAATGATGAACAAGACCAACACACAACTTCAGACCATAAAACCACATCAATTGATATGGTAATTGGAGACATGATTTTAGATATCGAAACTATACCAATTGACATGGTTATTGGTGATAAAGCCGATATAGATAAATCCCATTCGGCTAAGGTGTTTGAATTAAAAGCCGAAATTATGCCTGGGGGGCATAATAATTGTTCAACACATTCGGCAACCAATGATAAAAAATCTTTCGTCAAGCCGAACATATTTGGAGATGATTTGTTATTCGGCCTAAAGCGAAATCAAATTGAGAATTTTAATATGAAAACATCTCAACTAGGAATAAAACATCGTTGGCCTCCACCTTTTCATGGATCGGCCACTCTTGTTCCCATATTGACTTATAAAAAAAAAAAAAAAAAATATATATATATATATATAGAAAACTGAATAAGAATTTATTTTCTTAACCATTCGGCTGAACAGCCGATGCTCAAGGAAATAAAGGGGGGGAACAAGATGGTGCGGCAATCCAAAAGATAGTGTGCTCGGTTTAAAAGGATGTTTCTTTAGCCAAGCCGAGAAAAGACGGACGTTTGCAGTTAGCCCGATCTTCACTCAACGCGATTGGCTTTAAAGTCGGCCAAATGAAGGAACTACAAAAAGCTGAAGAGATTTGGACGAACACAAAATTGTTTAAAGCTTCAGAGGTCGTGCCATACCCATGTTTGAAATAAAGGTGTCTCAACCCCATGCTTTGGATGGAGTTGACTGTTCAAAGGTTGGCTTTTCAAAGAATTGGTTTTGGTGAACGGTGGAATAATGCATGGTTAATGCATATATTTCAATTAGGAGACAGTGGCATATTCATGATTGGTGGGCAGGCCGAACTGCCAAGAAAGGTTTTTCTCGGCCGAATGTTTCTTGAGCTCGTCCTAATTTTTATCAACCTACCTTTTCTCGACCTCGGCTTAATTTGCTAGTTTCTGAAATGTTTATTTGCTGCGTTGCTGACATTGGGTTATATATATATATAATTAGCAGTGCCATCATGCTTCTTTCATGATTGTTGACACTCGGGTCGTCGAAGATGGAGATGATAAACTGCTCAGGCTCGACTGTAAAGGTTAAGTGCAGCTACTTTTGCTGCTCGAGGCAGCCTCTTCCCTGGTGATAAACTTGATGTTTGATTTGATGGGTGTTTGTTGAGCTCAAACAGTATTTTTTGGTGTAAACGTCTCGACCGAGAATACCATGCCTAGCCTCGACCGAGAATACCATGCCTCGTCTCGACCGAGAATACCATGCCTTTGTCAATAAAATCTTAGAAGTTGCCGAGCTGTTACTAACAAATAGGCCACCTTTTTTGTGGCCATTCGGTGTATACACGCGGCATCCCTTCTAATAATGGAAGACAAGACATTTCCGGTATGTTTTCACCAATTTATTGGATATATATATATATATATATATATATATATATGTATGTATCCCAACGTTTGCCGAGCTCGGCGAGCATGAGTTGTTGCTCGGCAATGCAATCATGGTTTTTTTTTTTTATTGCATGGTATCTGCAGTAAAAGAATATCCCCTGGGGACTTGGCCGAATTTAAAAGAAAAAATATATATACATATATATGTAATAATTTGAGGCCAGTTTTGGAGTTCGTGCCCCTGAAATCCTGCTTAAAGATGGGGGATTTGTGTTAATATCTCGGTGGTTTCTCAGTAGTTCTCGGCCATATGTTTTTCTTGACCATTCGGCTCCTCGGCCGATGCTTAAGAAGATAAAGAAGGTTGAGGAACATTCCATGCGGCATCGAATCATTCAATTATATTCAAGACAAGCCTCTCATGATATGGTGCTTGGCAATCCTGTGCTCTATCTATAATATATATCACACATGCCGAGCTCAGCGAGCTGATGCTCGGCACACGCTCATTCTATATACATATGTGTGCGCTCACCATAGAAACGTTATATATATATATTCTTCGGTCGTCGTCGAGTTCAGCAAGACGTTATTCCTTTCCTTCTGATTATGTCGTCTTCCATAAACTTTTCTTGAAGAAATTAATATCCAGTGAGAGCTTCGGTGTTTTTCTGGAAAATTTTCTCGACAAGCAGCTAAGAGAGCTTGGAGTTGATGTTGATCGAATGAGGCTCTGATAACAAATAAAGTTAGTGGGACAAAGTCGAATCCAATATGGATTATGCTTCGTGCCAGTGTAATTTTTGGCATGCCACAATGTGCCAATTCTTCTTCATTTCCCTAGTTCCAAGACAAGAATAGTGAGATGCTCTGAGATGCTCATTCGGTTAATAAGAGACTGGCGTGGAGCCCATTGGTGGAAAACAGATGAATTTCCTCAAAGCCGAGTGATGGTGGTTTTTAGGATGTGACCTTAACCCAATGCTTCTTGAACTCGGCTCATTTCTCTTGGCCCCGTATGGTTTAGCCACTTTTATAAGTCACTAACATATATATACACGAACACACATGCCGAGCTCGGCGAGATGGTGCTCGGCACAGGTTTGTTTTATGTGTGTGTATGTGTGTGTCTATATATATATATGCCAAAGGCATGGCAGACAAATCATATCAGGCAACCAGCTACCTCTATATATATATATATATATATATATATTCCGAGTACCATGAGAAGCAGTGGGCAAGAGCCTTTAAGACTTCGACCCTATTTGGTTTTTTCTCGGCCAGCTCGTCGAGGTTTCGAGACTTGTCAGGTTATGGAGTGGATTCCTCGACCATATATTTCTTCGACTGCACTAATTTCCTTAACCATTCGGCTTAAAGGCCGAAGCTCAAGGAAACTGGGGGGCAATGTTTGGACCCAAATTTACGCTATCGGCCCATACAATCAAGGCCGTTAGATGAGTAAAATTCTAAACTGTTGGATGATAAAGTGGTTGAGATAATTTTCAATTATTATTAAGGAATAATATTGTGGTTTTTAATCATAATATTATCTCTTAATATATATTGGATTATCTAAGCTTAATATTGGCTATATCCAACGAATCGTTTAAAGATAAATGAAGAAGCAAATCATATTTCCAGCAGAAGTACGTTTCAAACAGGTTTGAGATGTTTGGTACGACCCACGAGTCATGATCACCAAAATGGCCTGCACCTTTGGGATTTGAGGGATTTTTTTACCGTGGCTAATTATGACCTAAACCTAAGTCCTATATAAAAGTGGGTGGTGCGGTACAAAGTGACTTGGAATTCATGGATGAAATTGGTGTACGTGGTCTTATCTAGAAATTGGTGAAGGAGTCATGCATGCATGTGGTCTTTGGCAGAAGGTTTTGATGATGGATAAAGGTTATGATAATGATGGATAAAGGTTATTAATCAAAGCAGGATTGCATCAGGTTGCAGGATGACAACAAATTTTGATAAGATGTGAGCAATAAAGACTTAGAGTCACAGTACAATTAGGATTGGTTTTCGCGACTTTGGCTTGCAGATCTCTATAAATACCAAGCAGCAGACAATTAAAAAGGGACCTCCAATTCAACACACAATTGCCCTGCGCAAAACCTCTCAAACATCTTGAGATTTTTTTTATTTTCTTTTTTCCGTCGACACATCTTCAGTTTGGATAAACAGCACTGTGAAGGCAACCGGCGAACATCTTCAGTTTGGATAAACAGCACTGTTGCCGTAGAATCAGCCGTTCCCGAAGCACCTTCAGTTTGGATAAATAGCACTGCGTCGAGGCCGATTGGTTATCTATCCAAGTCTCGGTCGAGAAGGATTTTCAAATCCTTATTGG